AGCCAATAAATAACTATAGCATAATAGTCTTAATCATGTTTGAGACTTCTTAACGGGTACAATAGTTTAACGCCACAAAGCCAATAAATAACTATAACATACAGCGGCGTAAGTTGGACCGAATTTTGGAGGTTGCAAAGTATATTTAAATTATAATATTTAATTAACATAGGTAGGAACTTAAATACAAATTTACGTGTCAACAGACTTGTTACGGTTCGCAGTTTCATATAGATTTGCGATAAACTAATTTCGATTTCGCATTCGATTTTGTTTTAATGACATATAGCTAGATTTTAATATACCTAATATATAAGATGTGATGTACCGAATAAAGGGCATACGAGTTGCCTTTAATCTAAAGATTCACGCTTCGATAAACAGAATTGGAGTATCGTTTCTATCGTTTGGTACAATGAAATTATAGTCTTGAGAAGTTATTATAGAACGCTTTTTTTGAGACTTCTTAACGGGTACTCGTCCTACAAATATTTCTCATTTGAAACCAGACTTCTACACGGTACTGTAGCGGTTTTATACAGTACCCAGAGTGGTAACCGTATAGGTACATAATTTAATACCCGGTAACCGGTAAGACTCGTTCAGTTTCGCGCCAGAATCTACCGTATGGAATTTAATAAAAGAATACCGTCTTGAATTGCCGGCGTTTTGCATAATATCTTATCACTGGTGAGCGATATAGTTTAATTGTTATCAATAATTTCTTATCAGTTATTCAGGAATTATCAAAATCCTCTCTCACCATTCCATTCGTAACCTAACCTAATGGCATTACTATAAGTTCTATAGATAAATATATAAAATCAACAGAAGTCATGTTGTAATTGTAATATTATCATAACAACTTCCGCCACCGGAAAATATTATTATAATGTGAAAAAAAAATGAAACGTACAAACCCCACAGCTGTTAACGATATGTTCAGTAGACATAGACGGTTTTCTGGTCTCGAAGAAATGGACGTTGAGAATTGATAAATATAATACAACGTAAAAAGAAACTTTTTTTCCCTCGTCCGGCGGCGGTATTATACTTGAACGCGGAAGCACTAGAAAAAATAAAAATAGAATATTGCTATTGAAAAGCGTGTATACACACTGTGAGCGAGTAAAGTTTACACGACTTGAGTTCCAGTGGGGCAGGGGTGAAGGGGGAGAGTTAATAATATTGTTTTGGCCGGAAAGTTTTTTTTAACAAATTTTATTTTTACCGCTGTCGAAGGTTATATTTTTTGCGACCAACGGAAAACAATATCGTATACACATAATATTTGATTTACAAGTAATAACGAGACGTCGTTTAATAACTCGTTTACTGTATAGGAAATAAATACACTGCAATAAAATATAATAATAATTGTAGTATGCTATTTGAACAAAGACAAAACATATAAATACATATATTTATATATTGAGCCAAAATACTTACAATAGAGACGCGGCTGTTTGTATAAGTTCAAATAAAGCGACACTAAATGGGTCACGTCTTATTTATACCACCAAAGGCGTTAATTATAGTTTGCTCACATTAAAAGTTCCTATTTTACAATATTTTTTTTTAGTCATTTTGTTTATTATTGAATTATTTATTATCTTTTTTTGTTGATTATTTTTATCATTGTGGTTGAATTATTTTTTATATTATCTTGTGCCATAGGGGCAGTTAATAATTAGTTTTTTTATTACCAATTTTTATATTTTTTATCAATTAATTATTTTCATTGTTGATATATTATTTGTGCCAAGGAAGCAACTATACATTTAGTGAGTTATTGAAAATATTATTATTAATTATTATTTGAACCGGCATTTTTCTTTTTTGTCTTAGTTTTAAGTTTTCCTACACACCCTCATATATACACACTCACACAAAGCTCACCTCATAGCTCTCTGGTTTCTGCGTAGGCGATACCTCCCAGTCCCAGTAGAGCTATTCACAACACTACACGCACGCAGCTGACCATTTGGGTCGGTCAGCCAAGCTATCGGGTAAAGCGGCTTATTTTTATCTGCCCCCGGCGCAAACAGTAATTTTCAACGAAACAAAAACGTTGGAAAAATCATTAAGTATTGCTTAATCATTGAGTAATTATTTTATTCAAAATTAATATATTTTTAGGATACCTGTTGATTTTAATTTGAATAATGTGCACAGTTTTACATTTTTATTTTGGTGTTTTTTCTTGGTTTTTTTAATGGGAAGGGGTAAAATTTTTTAAATGTTCACTCAATGTAATACCTTTCAGGTAGGATTTTTGAACCGTAGACTCGCAGACTTTCTAATTGCATTGGTCGGTAGACAAACGATGACTAGCCTGGATATTCCCTCGGGAACTGCTACATCGGTTTAATGAGGGTTCAAGAGACACTGGGCAAAGTTCCAACAAGGGATAAAATATTGAAAATTGCCACTCCACGGCCGTCGACATTAGCCGGATTACGACTTAACGGGTCCTAATGGGTATATAATCTATATATATATATATATTTATAGGTAAATGGGCATGTTATATTCTATAATGGACGAGTACAATATAATATTTTTGGTGTATATATTTTTTTCAACGATACATCCTGTATTTATATGGATATGTAATTTTTTTTCTTTTAAATAATTGAATTTCAAAAAAAAAAAAAAAAATGTCCCATCGTGGTATTAGGTAGGTGCTAATAATTATTATCAATTAGCAGTTAGCTATTAACAAAAAGGCAAAACTAAACAAATTTGACTTTTCAAGTCGACATTTCGCGTTAGCCATTTGTTTGTTAGCAATGTTTTTTTTTAGGATTTAAAAACAGTAGTTTTTGTATAGTTTTTTTTTGTAAATGTTGATTTTTGGAATAAACGTGGTAAAAAAAAAATAATAATCTCAGTTCATTTATCGAATTGAATTAGGTTTAAATTAGTTTAAAAAAAACGTAACTTATACCCACGTGCAGATTTCAACAAAATTGGGCAATTTTTTTGTCAATACTTATTAGTTTTTTTTTGTCTTAACACAGACTAAACCATAGTACCTTATAGGCAAAGTTGTGTCTAGTCTGATTGAAATAAAAATCTAAATTTCATATATTATCTGTTTGTCACTACCGTTTAAACCGCTTTGCCGTTTATTTGTCATTATAATATATTTGCAGGTAGAATAAAAATCCAGCAGAAGTTTTCTCTAACCGTAAAAGATACCTATTGGATAATATATTGAACAAAATATGTCTTCTTCTTTGCCCCCCTCCGAGTTAACCGTAAAAAGGTAAACGGTCGATAAATAAATCCGTTAGAGGAACCAGAGGTCTATTGTTCAAAGGGTAAAATAATACACTTAATATAGAGAACTTGGATCAAGATGCTGTGATAAAAAAACAATACACCTCTACAAGAGTTATATTATTATCCTTTGCTTGTTCTGCAAATGTGTCAATAACTTTGTTTGTGTTGATTAAATTTGTCATGTCTTTTTCTATATGTAGTATTAGCAAATCTGCAAGTCTGTCCTGTCTCATTAAAACCCAAAGCCAAACATTTATTCTTCTCAAAGCAGAAAACGAACGTTTACAAGTTACAAAAATGGAAATTGATAAATAACATTGAATAATAAAATAATCGACTCTGCAAAAACCTTATGGTTTTTTTGTGTTAAATATTTTTATAAGCAGATGTGTTAGTACATAAACAGTACGACCCTTTAAGCTTCCCCTCCTTAATTGCACCTATGTTTATATCTAATAATTAATACATTAATACAATATATAATATCTACCTACACATTAACTATGATATTAATTAATCTTATTATCTATCATGTTATGTAAACTGAAATCTTCAATAATAAATAGTCATATTCGACCGTCGAGCTAACATTTTACCTCCTATTAATTGCTATGCAGTAATAATTAGGCATATTTTTTTTTTTGTACAATAATACTCATAAATTATAATGTACGGTAGGCCCCGTGCAAGAACTTCTCAATAATAACAAGTATATACAGTTATACATGGTTTATTTAACACATTTTTACATTGGTATTTGTAGAATATTTTTACATTTTTATAAGCTGTACATTGAATAAATAAAAAACACAATCTTAACGAAATTCTTGTGGCCGTTTTTTTTCTTCAAATATGTCATCGTTGAAACGTCCGCCGCCGCTGGGGCGGATTTCCACGAGTCTGCCGCATAGATCCGGCTGTACGAGCGGTGGCACGGGCCGGGTTGACTGCGAGGTCATCGGTGATGTCTGGCAGCATACACCCGCAACTCCGGGAACTTCCGCCGTGGCGTCCGCCGAAACCACACGTAGTCTACGACCGTACGGCTGAAAAAAAAATCGTTTATCATCAGTTACGCACTCTATTGTCGAGACCATTGATAACCAGTTTTTTCTCATCAACCACGCGGACGCGGACGACGTTTGGTTCCAGCATGACGGCGCCACGACGGACGTTCCGCACGAACGGCTCGAGGGCACGTGTTTATCTCTCGCAGAGGTCACGTTAATCGGCCCAGCCAGACGTTTTCCGGAGATGCGCAGGTCTATGTCGCCGCAATCGCCGGATGCCCTCAAAGTCGACACGACCCAAGCCGTCGTGCTCAAGCTCAGCCGGATCCGTGCGGGGGCAGAGTCGTTGAAAATCCACCTGTCGCACCTGTGTGCCACCGTGCGAAGCCGCGGCCGACGTTTCAACCGTGTCATATTTCATAAGCAACCGGCCTTTCAAACAGATCAAGAATTTCGTTAAAATCGTCACAAACATATTAATACTATGGATAACTTAAAGGTTGACATCGTCGACGCCCAAAAGCAGTGTGCTCGTCCGAGTGCGAGCAACCGAGTGCGAACAACCGGTTGTCAATTGCTGCTTGGTTCATGATTACATAACTGAACGCTCACTGAAATCATCAAGGGGTAGTAGTTAGATTAATAGTGAGGCGTGTGTTATAGTCCCTAAAAAAAAAAAAAAAACTGCTATTATTTGTATTTTCACTTACCGCCCTTATTGGCCATCTGCACGTTCCTAGGGCGGCGGCGGCGGGGACCATTTTCGAGCTGGTACAATGCCGTTTGGGTGCAATTTAAGCGATGCGTTTTTTTCCCTAATTTGAACTTTAAATCGTTTAGCTCGTCTGTCTTTATCTCCATCTCGCCCAAGTGTGCCGATTCTCTTTTTTTCATTTCTTTCTGCAGTACTTGGTATTTGTTTACTATGTCGTTGTACTTTGACTCAAGATTCTCTTTTTCTTCCTGCAGCTTTTCCAATTTGTTTAATATTTCGTCGTAGTTGGATTGTAGCTTTTCATTTGCTCCCTGCAGCTTTTGCCATATCGATTCTAACATTTCTTTTTCTCCCTGCAGCTTTTGAAATATCGATTCTAGCAATTCTTTTTCGCCCCGCAGCTTTTGAATTTGGTTTAGTATGTCTGCGTTATTTGATTCTAGCTTATCGTTTTCTCCCTGCAGCTTTTGACACATCGATTCTAGCTTTTCTTTTTCCGCTTGTAGCTTTTGACACATCGATTCTAGCTTTTCTTTTTCCGCCAGTAGCATTTGAATTTGGTTTACTACGTCGTCATAACTTGATTCTAGATTTTCTTTTTTTTCCTGCAGGTTTTGACGTATCGATTCGAGCTTTTCGTTTTCATGCTGCAGCATTCGCATTTTGTTTACTACATCATTGTAACTTGACTGTAGCTTATCTTTTTCTTCATGCAGCTTTCTCATTGCGTCATTGCTATTTGAAAGCACTCGCGCCCATTCGTTGTTTAAGTTGTCGATTTCTCTTGCGTGCTCACGACGCAATCTCTCATACTCCGCGGCGTACTTTGCGGCGCATTTCCTCTGTTTATAGTTATAATTATTATTATTATTATTTAAGAAGCACCGAGGCATTAGGGTAGGTTTACTGGACTGTCGATACTTACATTGTAATAGAGAAAACCAGCGCCGGTCACGACGCCGCCCGCTAATGCCGCCGCAATGTATTCATACATCCTTTAAAGACTTCGGTAAACTTGGAATGACTTGGAATGACTTGGAATGACTTGAAATGACTTGGATTGACTCGTAACAACAAAAAATACTTTCGCGTTGCGTGTCTGTTCGACGTCTGGTGAAACATTGGTTGTTTACTCGAGGTCGCTAACAAGTAATATTAATACTGAAATCGGCCAGCACAAAAGCCTAATAACTAAAAGCCTAACAACAGCTGTTATTACCTACACAGGTGCATATTGCTGTCGACCGAGTAATTAGTGCTGAACCGATGGATTTACGATTGGAAAAATAGACACATACCGTAGACACAAGCTGTAGCACATATTATATCAAACCCTTCGACTAGCATATACATGCATTTGTCGTCCCCTGAGATCTTTCCTTTGTCCGTGGCTCGACACCGTCGAGTGGGGCCAGTAAGACAACATTTTGTAGGCAACATTAAGCAACATCAGGCCGAGGCCCTGAGACCGGCGGAAGACGCGAAACTAGCAGGGTACGTCGTGGTTAAGCGCAGTAGTTTTAGTGGCAAATCGCGGCGCTAACAACCGCTGTTTCTTCGCGCGCCTGGCATCGTCGGACAGACCGTGATCTCGTGGATCTAACGAGGGATCGAGCGGCCTTCTATACGCCCTAGCGGCTGAGAAATCCGGGAAAACTCCCATTTTCATTTGAAAATTAGTAATTTTCAGGCTTTGTTATTTTGCATAGCAACGGCCGCCGGCGGCCGGGTAAGTTTTTTGGTTTTGGCGGGTTTTCGGTCAAGGAGTGGATTTTTATGCCATTTTGACGTCGGCGACCTGTCTGAATCGCGCCAGAACCTTAATGTAAAGGGCTGGTGACCCTAAGACAAAGGGTAATGGCGAAAAATCGCGTTTATTGTTAGTGGGGCCGTAACATATGGGGTACAATCGACCATTACCGTACATGTTTTCTCAAAAAAAAAAAATGAAAAACCCTATCACCACTAAGTCTTACAACATAAAACCGTCGTAGTCTTTGCCCTTAAGTACTTGAAGGTTTTTTGGATTTTGAGCGACGATAGGTACGGGTTTTTTGTGACGTTTTTTTTTTAGGGCAAAGTCGTTTCGACGGCCAACTCATTTTTTTTTTTTGACATCACCGAGAAACGCTGTCACGTCTTGTCACGGCTTTATATAATAGTACACAGTGCTTTGGTGTCGTTAAACGCCGTTTTACCGGTACGGGGTGCCGGTCGACGGGGAGTTTTTTTTGTTTTGTCGAGCTCATGAGTACTTAAAACCTATGTCCATATCTGTTATCTTTGCCGGCGTATTAGGCTGATCGGATCACTGTAGTTATTCTTCTAAAGAGAAAGAAAAAATTGTGTAATATAAATCCGCTGACGATAATAGATTTTTTTTTTGTCTAGAAGCCGATAGGTCAAGTTAAATTGATTTTTTTTGAGGCTTCAAATGTTTCTAACCGTTGAAATATAAATTAAAAAATAAAAAAATACAAAATAGGTAGTTTTGCCTGACTCGATTCGAACCCGAAACCTCTTGATTATTAGTTCAAAGTGTTAACCGTTACGCCACTAAGACATATTCACATTAATGGGTAATTGTTTGGGTATTTAACGTGGAACCGTTTAACTTCACTCAAAAAAAGTTGACATAAAAAAATTTAAAAAAAATATTGAAGTCATTAATCGAGAGGAGTTTGCATACTTACACACGGACAGAAGAAATATATATATATATATATATACTTAATGACGTCAGCACTGTGAACGACCCCTGCCATAAGACATGTCCATGTCAAAAAAAAAAAAAATGCAGTCAGAACGATTGAACGTGGTAACTAATAAAACGAACCCCAATCAGAGGGTGGACAAGTAATATAACAAAAATAATTTGACAAAATTGAACTTTTTCTTATTTATTTTCAAGTAAATGCATAAATGTCGCGGGTACGCCGTCTTTAGGTCAGAGAATTCGGTCAAGGTGGCTTTAAACTAGAATATTATGAGATAGGACAAACTAACAAAATATAATATATTTAAAACACTGACAAGATAAGAGTGCACTCTATATTCGAGAGATTAAACAAACAATATAATGTATTCCGAATGCACGACTCGGTCATGATCTGCCCTTATCTAACTTTTGAAGACCTTTATTTTATGGTCTCGCCCCATTCCGGTTTAATATTTTCCGGATCGTTTCCTTTTTTTTACGATGCTATCAATATACCCTGTTTATCCCTCCTTCTCTCTCTCTCTCTCTCTCTCCAGCTCATTTGCTTCCACGTACAAAATGACAATATTTTAGGTATAATATTTTTAAAAAAAACTGAACTGAAAAATGTCCGTTATATGGGTTGGAATGCAGTATTGTCCAGTATTGATTCGTTGTCTAATTTGCTTTGGTCGTTCATACCAAACGATACCTATTCAAATAGATATATGAATTATGACTATATAATATGAAAACATTTTCGAATATTGATTTAGCAGGCACGTCGTCGACCTTAATTACTGTTGTAAACAATTCCTACCCCGTGCTGCCCGACAAATCCCATTAGAGAACCCCAAAAGGATTTATTATCCGGTACACGGCTGGATGTAGACAATTTAGCTGCATTTACTATTCCGAACACGACTCGAATAAATAGGATTTTTGTCTTTGGAAAGAGGCAAATTTGGATTATTATTACAGATATCGCATTTCATACGGTGCCCACTCGAGTGCCCGTTAAAAAGTCTTAAAAAAAAATTAACAAAAAATGCAAAAAAAATTCTCCTTTGGCTCTTCTGATCTACTGTTACTCGTTCTTTAATCTTCGCTAAAAATCTTCGCTACATGTCATAAAAATAGACATGTCTGTTTTTTCTGGTGAGCCCTTGAATTTTGACTGATCGTATAGGTAAACATTTTATTTTTTAAACAATTAAATTCAAATAAATTATAAAACTGTTAATTCATTTACTTACTGGAATGTTTAATATTTCTATTGAATTAACAGGATGAAAATTGTCCAGTCCAGTAATGTCAGCCTGTATGTACTGTCGGTTCATCCTTATATTACATCATAATATTAAATACCGTCAAATTAATGTAATTACTAAAAAAAATCGAATTATTCACTTACTGAATCATTGAATACAACTTTTGAACAAGGAGGCCCAACGTTTTTAAACTGAGATGTCCGGTGAGCTAGTCCAACCCTGAATTTATACCTAACATTAAATTTTGTCGTACAAAATGGCGCACACCCGCCTATCACGTGCGTGCGCTCAAATGGGACCTTCTGATTGGCTGATTGAACGCTATTGTGTAAACGAAAAACAGCAGCCATTTTCTAACAAGGGCAGGTCACAGTAAAGGCGTGACGGATTTTCTTCAAATTGCGAATATAAATGTTATTTATTTTTATGTTTTACATCATTTATTATACTTCTCGTACAGATGATTGAATTACACATTTGTTTTGTATAATTGCACTATTTTAGAATTCAACCTGTAAAGTTGTAGGACTATTAATACACGTTAATGATTAATTACACTTATGACATATTATGACTATTACATAGTAAAAAAAAATGTTGTTTTACTCGTTTACTAGTTTTTTAAATTCAAATGTTACAATTTTTATTTAAATCGCCAAAAGCCGCGAACAAAAAATAACCTATTTTGGTTGTGCTGGAATACACTTATTTGCGTTTTTGCTCGGTTGGGTTTTAGTGAGTTCTGTGTATACAATCTGTCCAATTTCTCCAGCGCATGTGCGAGTGTGTGTTCCACTTCACTGAAAGTTTTCCCCTGCGCAGTTATCGCTAAATCGTCGGCATACAGGAAACGACGAGTAGTTCCCATAATGGCCTGGTCATTTGTATAGACATTAAAGAGTATTGGTTATGAAATGTATTAAAAAAAACATTTTTGGGTTTTTAAAAAGCTCGGAATTTTAACAGCTGATTAAAAGCTATCCGAATAGAATAAATAATAATAATGGCTTTTTAAATCATTGTTAGGTATTATTGGTTGTTATTTATTATTATATAACAGAATTCAGTTTTACGTTATTCTTATAACAGTATTCAGTTTTTCGTTATTCTTATAACAGTATTCAGTTTTTCGTTATTCGTCATCACGTCTCAGCAACATACTCGATTTTGTGAAACATGATGTCACTTAAATTGTATGCGGCCGGCGGATTTGTGGCGGGGTTCGGTTGTGCCTACCTGGTTGACTATTGCTGCTCTCGGTGGTTACAATCCGTACGTATGAATTTCAAAAATATTTCATTGTCATACTTAGGGAAACGGTCGCACACACAACTCCGCTTGTCCAGGGCCAGCTGACAATCTTTACGTGTTAAGGTAAGCGTCCATATGTCCGCATCGGACGGGTCGTTTCAACCGGATGTACAATTTTTCCAGTATTGGCTATAGCACACTAAAATCCGTCCGATGCGGACTTGTGGACGCGCACCTTTAAGGCCGGGTGCAAGAAAACGATTATCTATTGAGTTTTTGGGCATACGTAAACCGCGCCCCGTTTATAATTTGGTTTAAAAAACGTATGTGTAAACTGCGCCCGAGTTTTTATCAAGTGGAAAAAGATTAGTACCTACATGTAAGCTGCGCCCAGCTTCTCGTCATCGGTATGAAATGCAAACAGCGTCCGAATCAATAAAATCACGGGAATATTAACATTTTAGGGTTTCTACCACTTTTACCAAATTGCATAAATTGCCATGACGAGGTTTCTTGTCAGCATGTGGAATTAGCATTGATAATGAGGACGGCAGATATCCGAGTGTTTTAGCACTCGCTCGCTATTTGGCCTCGGATAAACATACATGGATGTCGCTTTCATTTAACACAATCGTACATTATTATTATAATGTATATATATATAAGTTTAATACAATATAATACAGGGTGGGCCACGGAAATAGGGACAAAAATAGATGGGTTTTTCTCAACATTGAATGGGAGTAGGCAGGTCTAGATAAGCTCATTCGATCCGTCAGATAATGCCATTTAGTTATCACTATAGCGCAGTGGAGTGTCGTTCACCGTGTGTTTGCGTACGACGCGTTTGTGAAAAACAATGAATCGATAGTTAAGGTGCAGCGTGCCCCCGCTGCCAACGAATAGGGTCAAA